CACGCACACAGTCGCGTCGCCCCCACCCCTATCATCGTCGGAGCAACCCAATCCAAGACCAGTGGGTGGCCAGCCTCTACCACAGTGGCATTGACCTCTGGCGGCCATTCTAGCGTCGCCCCCCTTCTGTTCCAGGTTATGTGCTCTGTCTAATGCGCCATCACTCGTCGACTTCACCTCCATATCCAGACCTAGTCATTGTAGGTTCGACTACGAGGGTGATGACATCCCCGTCGTCTGTTGTGACGGCGACAACCTTGGCCGGAAGGTTTTTTTTAACCCCACTTGAAGGTTTTCTCCGGTGCAAGGCGTCGGGAGCGCGGCAAACTCAAGGATAGCGGCACTGTCTTCATCTACCCCGCATGTGATGAGGAGCACTGGGATAGGGCGGCAGCCCTCAGATTGGCCGACTCATCTTCTTCTGCCGCCCTGTTCCCGCCAGGGTTTGTTCATTGGCCGACGCATGCTCCAACGACACCCGCTCTGGTATGTGCATTTTGTTTTCCGTCCTCATAGTTGTAGTTAAGGTTTTTTGCTTACTGCATACTAGGTAGGATTGGATTGGATCCGACTCGATTCAATTTCATTCCAATCAATTCGAACTAAAACGATTGAGGTTAGTGTTGTTTTTGTTACAATGACAGTAGATTGATGCTATTATGGGGGTCTTTTTGCTAGATTGGGGGTTCTTAATGGTATATTGGTTCTAGATTGGGTGTTCTTGATGCTAGATTGGTGCTATTATGTGTTGTTCTTGGTTTATTGACAGTGTTAGATTGATGTTGTTAGTAGTTAGGGTTTGTGCATGATCAATGTATGTGCTTGTTGCATGATCATAAGAAGAAGATAATGCATGTGCATGCTCAAAATAATAGTAGGACAAATGTGCATGCTGCCAAATAGGAGTAGGCAATTTTGGGCATTACTGATCAGTGGCATTTGCAGATGGGCAGTGCTATGTTCAAGGGTAGTTAAACATAGCACTGCCCATGTGCAAATGCCATTGATCAGTGGAACTTTCAAACGACCAGTGCTATGATTCAAACATAGCACCACCCAAGTGCAAATGGCACTGATCAATGGTAGTTGCCAAAGACCAGTGCAATGTTACAATCATAGCACTGCCCAATTGCAACTTCCACTAATCAGTGGCGGTTTCTAATGATTAGTGGAATGATTTAACCATGCTCTATCAGTACTAACACACGTCCTCATACCTGAGAAGGTGGTGAAGGAGTGGGACACTGCCAGTAAAGGAGCGCGGGTGGTGGCTGCTTATATCTGTCGTGTGATATTAATTAGGTAGTGTTGTTCTTATGTGATACCTGCTGTGAAGTGCTGCACTTGGTTGGTAAGGCCACCATGTTTGAAAGGGGTGAGAAGAACAGATACGTGCACACAACCAAACAACAGTGGTTTGCATCTGCTCACCCCCGAAGAACAGATGCAGGCAACCAAAGAACTAGCCCTAATATGGGCACTGATGCAATGCGGGCAACCAAACATTGTGCATATGTTCTTTTTAGCCAGTTTTTCTTCAACGAGGCACAATTGGGACAAGCATGCAATGCAGGTAAATCGATGTGAGCAATCAAACACACCCCAGATTGCTCCCCTGCCGCAGCCTGAATACTGGCCAAACAACATTATACTTACCTCTACCGGCACGATGCAACCGGGAAATACAGGGTGATCTGGTCCTCAGGGTGCCACATGAATGAAACCACTTTATATATCCTCACAGTGGGAGAAAACGATTCCAGAACATTGGTCTGTCGACAGTGTTGTCACCTTCACTACAACAGGCGGTACATGACGCGCTGCTACGAGGTCCCTATACTGCATATAATCCACCAGCCCACCACCATGACAACTTGCATTGGGTGCCCTGGATGCCCATGTGTCATGCCGATATTGTTGCTTTTGGCACAACTACCGAGTCATTCCGGTTGATGCGCAATGCGACAAATTCACCAATATGAATAAGTTGTTTGACTTAGAGGGGAAGCTCACTTTTCAGTAGTTATTATATACACTTGACATATATGGATGTATGGGTGATGGAGGACTATGCTCGGAAATATGGGACTTCAATTATCGGATTGACGTGTCATCAATACAGGCATCATGACCATTTAATTTAGCTTCCCTAAAGAAGGAAAAAAATGGAAAAGAAGATGCGAACCCATGTTGCTCCAACCATGAGATTTCTCAATGGGCTGGTTATGGTAAACGAGTGTGACCTGCTGACCAGGTTTAATAAACACCTCTTGAGTTGCAACATTGATGGCGAGTGGTTGGGAATGGCAAACATTGAGGAACAATATTATAGTGAGTTTACTCCGCATCGCTTCAAACAAAGCATTTTACCAATACCGTCAAGCAAGATGCAAGAAGGTAAGAACTATGTGTGTCATGCTTTTTTGTCTTGGCTCTTCTTATCGATACTGCTACTACAAGTTATTTTGGATGGTCGCATGGTTGCAGTACCACTTACGCTATCATGATGCGGTGCTTATTATGAGTCGAGAACATTGTTGTAATGCTCTGAATTATGTAGTGTCAGAGCTGTTATAACATTCTAATTTCATGCCGAAGCCCAAATATTTGTTCAGTTTGTGCCGTTAAGATGCAGAAGTGCCATCAAGGGTGTTCAACCACGGAACTCCTCAAACTATTGAAAACCGGACACTTGTTCCTCTACCTATTTTTTGATTTAGTTGACATAACCACAAATCAGAAATGTACCTATTTTACAACCAGAAAAGGTTTGTTTGGAGTGAATTTGGCATTTTGGTCGTATCTTTAGAGTATCACTGGGTACTTACGCGTGTTGTTCTTCATGTCCAATAGGAATGTGCTTTTTCGGTCCAGTTAAATGCTTTAGGTCTATAAAGGTTATACGTCCGGCCAATTTAATACCAACCAATATATTTTCATGTGGTAACGTTTGAGATCAAATGGAAAATCCTGCCATTTTAGTGATGAAGGCGTGGGTAAGGATTTAGGATTTGCCTAATGCTTTTCATGTGGTTCACATTGTAAATTAAATGCAGAAACTTTCCCTTATTATTCTCTTGGCGCAAAAGATCATGCCAGCAGTTCAATATCGAACTTAGTTTTGGGAATGTATCACAGTGCAGGCTGGTGTTCACCAAGTAGCACTGATAATCACAAGCTATTGTGCATAATGATAGAATAGGTTTCTACTAGGAAAAAAAAGGCATAGCTTCAGTTCTTTTCTCTCGTGTGCCCTCCACCTTTTCTCATGGTTTCCTAAAAAATAATGTCATGCACATTGATTGCATGATTCTGCATTCAGAATGTAGTTCATCGATAAAAAATGTTGACTTGTTAAATTAGTTATAAAATTGTGGTTATTCGTACCTAAAGCAAACAATTATGGTTTCACGTGTTCTGAAAGGCATGGCAATCAAAGTACATGAAAGTGGCCCCATCAAAAATCCAGTTAACATTTCCGGATATGCATATGGTCTGAGAGAGGATTGGAGTAGTTTGCATTTGGATTGACCTAGAATTCTATAGTTTGCAGCTATAGCGGCGCTATAGCGAGAACTTCTGCAGTCGTGACTCGTGAGGGAGGTTTTTTTAGGTTATTGCTGAATTTTGGGCTGTTAGGTGGTATTTCCGGAGCATTTTGTGGTTGTGGCCATAGCATCGCAAGGAGGCTTCCTAGTAGCTTTAGCGGTAATTTTATGGGATATTTAATTTCATGATTGAAACACACCCCCTGGCAAATCATTTGCATTATATCTTACTTTAACTTCTCTGGGGAAGGTATGTTGAAGGAAGGGGACAAGAAGCTGCTGATAGACAGCGCGTCCAAAGTCCAAAGTCATGCAGAAGGCCGTGTCTATCATGTACAGCATTAATGGGGGCATTTATGAAGAGGATCATACTGAAGCTGATGGGAAGCCTGCTGCTGCTGAACGGCATGTAGCTCTGCTTTGCTATGTTTTTAGCCGCTCTATATCTTGTCAATGCTTGTCTTCTGTAATAAGTGACACCAAATGGAAGTTGTGGTTTCAAGAGAGAGCTTAGAGATGCCTTGCAATGGGAGCTCTATGCACAAAGGATGTGCCTCCAACTCTGAAGGACAGAACGTTTTTCCATTATGAGATTACTCTAGATTCCTTATGGCATTTCTGTCCGTGATCTTGCTATTGTAGCTTAACATTGCTATATAGATTGCTATTTTGCAATCAAAGATGGTTGAGGATGCCCCCCCATTCCAGGGGTGTATTCTGGTATAAGCACAAATTTCCTTAGAAAAGAAACAAAGATAATGCATAACATGAAGTCGAATAACAACCTCATGTTCAAACAAAAGACGAGCTAACTGCAGATCCGATATGATGATACATTATTGTCAATATTAAAACACAAACACACACACACACACACACACACACACACACACACACACACATGCACTAAAATAGACTGGTTTATTTGACCAGATTTCAATTGATCGTGTGATCATGTGCTAAGCTTACGAAAGGCCATGGCTGCACCATCCACTGGCCTTGGGTGTGGAAGGTAATTGATCTCCGCATCAGGATTGAGTAACTCCCATCTAAAACAATTAGTACAAATCAATATCTTCTTTGCATCCTGACTTAGCTAGGTAATTACTCAAGCTAAACAGAGCTAGTATTCTACTCACTCGTAGCCGACGCAGAGATGATGCAGGATGATGGTGACCTGTAGCCTGGCAAGCATGTTGCCTGCGCTGATCCTAGGGCCACCTCCAAACACCTGGTATGTTCCTGCCTTAGCCGGTTCCTGCATTCATACGTTCATCCTTTGATTTCTTCCTAGCCATTACCTCATAAACTATTAGTTTGATTTTCTTTTACTCAAATATTTGTTGGGCTTACATATTCCTCTTAGACTATCACATAGTTCATTACTTCATCCCTAGGTAGTTTCTGTAATTCAAAAAAAAAACTGCTTCTAATTTTTTTCTACAAAGTAAAAAAAATGTATGTAGGATATGTGGTGTGAGTTTTATGCACACAACTATACCTGGCCATACCTTGGGCCGGGCCTAGCCAAGCCCGACGCAAAAAACCCGGGCCCGGCCCGGCCCGGCCCAACCTCCAGGAAAGTGCAAAAACAACGGGCCCGGGCCCAGCCCGGCCATCGGGCTCAAAATCTAGGCCCAAGCCCGGCCCAGGAGCAACGTCGGGCCGGGCCGGGTCGGACTTTTTCGGGCCAGGTCGGGCTTCCCATGGCCAGGTATACACACAACCCTTTTGTTTGGACAAAAGCCCATTTATGGAAATGGTGTAAAAAAGGTAATGTAGTTAATTTCTTTAGTTTTACTTAAATAGTCAATGGTCGTATTTTGTAAGCACAATTCACAAGCACATACTGCAAACTGTAACTTACTTTTATGAAAATTTTATATTTCTTAAATATCTTTTTGTGGGATATATTTTTAGAATCTCGGAGGCATGATTTTGTCTTTCCAGAGACTGCCCAAAGGAAAAACTGCTCCAAATGTAGTTGCTTAGGTGGTTAACTGAGCTCAGATAACTAAATAAGACAAAAAATTGAAGCAAGCCACTATTTTAGATAGTCTACTTACATCCCATCTGTTAGGATTGAAGGAGAGGGGATCCTCGTAGTAATTGGGATCAGTGTGCAAGGATCTCAACCATACCAGCACAGCCCAGCCCTTCGGTATGGTATAGCCGCGGTAGTCCACGTCCCTGTTTGCCACGCGGTGGACCATGGGGGCGATGTTGGCCATCCGAATTGTCTCCTCCACCACCTTGGCCGTGTACTTCATCTTTGGGATGTCGGTGTGGGTGATCATCAAACTTGTCGACGTCGACCCACCTTTGCTTTTGCTCATCGCTATATTCTCCTCTCGAAGCTTGGCAAGGATGACGGGGGATTTTGCGAGGTGGTAGACAGCCCACATGGTGGCGATGGTAGTGGACTCGTAGCCAGCGATGACAAGGGAAACAATGTTATCCACCACCTCCTCATTACTCAACTTCTTTCCCTGCTCGTCCTTCATCTGCATCAGACCGCCCATTAGATCATCGCATTGCTTGTTCACCTTCTTCCTTGCCTCCAGCTCCTCTCGGAAGATCGTTGTCTAGCTTCCGGCGACTCTGCATACCATTAAATTCCTCAGAGGAATGAGACCAAATTCCGCATTAAGGGGTCCAGAATTGCACAAAAGATTGTATGGAACTCCAAGAGTTGATGTAGTTGCACATTTCTCATATCAAAGTTACACATATTTTTGAATGCATGACCTACCCAGCCTGTACTGGTGAAAGAATGACAGCCAGAATCGTTAACTTACAAATAAGTAATTAAGTACGCATTTGTTTTGGTGGAATAAGAGATATACACTTCGAGAAACATGCAAAAAGGAGCGAGCAAAATACCTTTCGAGCACGGTGAGATGCTGTCCCTGGAAAATCAAAGGGGTATGCCCTCAGACCATGAAGCAAGTCGCCGAACCACAGATCGATCTTGGCTGTCAAAGGCGATGGCTCCATGCTTATGAACATCTTGCAGATGTTGGCAAACGTCACCTGCACCCCCATTGATTTATCAAACTTGGGTTTAGTGTTGCACTGGATTAATTATGATAGTATTATATGCTCAACTAGTTTGTTTGTTTTTGAAAATACGCTAATAGGTTTTTCCTTTTACAACTAATTATAAAATAAACAAAACAAACATAGTTCAGAAAAGGTAAATTGTGCCTAAATTAACTATGCAAGTGTCTAGAGCCCAGGTGAATAACAATTTTCAATTTTTTAGTCAGTTTTTGCTCCCCTCAAAAGTACAGTTATTACACTAATAAAAATATTGTTGCGCAGGCAAAAGTGCAATCTGTACTACTTAAAAAGAACGTAAGGTTCCCATTTCACCTTTTTTCCCACCACCCCTTCGTCCAACCTTCCGTATATATGATAATCAATCACCTTAGTTTACATACCTTCTGAACCAATTCCACTTTAATTTACTTACCAAACTTCTAATCAAAATATAAGATAATTCACGGACAGAATTTGATGAACACTTATTTATACAATCGCATTATTATTGACAGATAAATCACATGCTAACGTACTAGAATATTTATATCCCGTTGCAACGCATGGGCATTGTTCTAGTTACACCAAAAAAATGTATTAAAGTTCCACAAAAAAGTGCAATTTCAACAAACAAAAAACTTAAAGGTGAAAGTGCAACTGCGGCAGAAAGAACAAAGTGCAATTGCACAAAATAAAAGCGCAACTGCATAAAAACAGACCAACTGAAACAAATACATAACACGAACAAAAAAATGTGACTGAAACTTCACCTAAATTCCTAGACGTTATTACTATGAACACCACCAAACAAAAAAGTGACTAGTGTTTTGGCAATTCTAAAAAGGTATACATGCTTGGCTTAATTCTGTCGAAAAATTACCTTTTTAATCTCTGTGGCGGCGACGATGGTACCCTTATCCGCCCACGTTCGCAGCGCCGCTACGACACGCGGTTGCACAACGGTGGCGATGGTCTGGAGCGAGCTGGGCCGGTTGATGGCGGCGAGGATGAACCCGCGGAGTCTGGCGTGGCTGCTGCCTTCCACGTTCACCACCGACGTGATGCCGACGAGCTCCGGCACCGGCCAGCGGATGCCGAAGCTTTCGGCTGACTGGAGCACGAACTTGTTGGCCGCCGGCGAGCAGGCGATGATGCTGGGGGAGCCGAACAGGTGCGTCCTGTACATCCCGGCCCCGTTGCCGTACGCGGCCTTCTTGGCGCCGATGAAGTCGTCCGGGCGGCGTGCCAGCTTGAAGTACCAGAGCAGCGAGAGCGTCTCTCCCAGAAAGGGGACGCCCATGTGGCCGGGCGGGAGGCGCCGGCGGATGCCATTGCCACCACGGCCGCCGTGTTTGAGAGCGAAGGCGGCGCAGTACCATGCGTCGGTGGAATGCCACACGGTGAGGCAGAGCAGCGGGATGGCGCCGAACAGGAGGCCCAGCCACCATGCCCACGCACCCACAGCTCCTTCCATTACCACCATCTCTCCTAGCTTACCTGCTACTCCCTCCGTTCCGAATTACTTGTCTTGGATTTGTCTAGATACATCCCGTATCTAGACTCATTTTAGTGCTAGATACCTCCGTATTTAGACAAATCTAAGATAAGTAATTTGGAACGGAGGGAGTAGTTCTACACTTCTACTCGACTATCTTCTCCAGAAATTGGGATGAATATACGAGCAGTCGAAGGTGATGTATATATAAACGAGCGTGGATACCGAGTGGCCGATCCGTTGGTGTGCGGAGGCAGATGGGTACAAAATCAAGGTAGCTAGCTAGAGAAATAGCTCACGAGTTGCATGGCTGGTTAGCTAATTAATAGGCATTCAGCATAGTATATGGTTACGTATGTCGATGCTTACACAAGTGATGTGGGTGTGGCCCTAGGCCCTAGCTAGCTCCACTATTCCAGCGGGTGGATGCCGTATATAGTATAAGTACAGACAACCCTGCTAAGTCCCAACGCAGCGTCATTGGCACTTAATTAGGGGCATCTCTGATGAATATACCGATGTGACAAACCTAGTTTAGCTACATGAATGTCACCTCATGGACTATGTTCGCTGTCCAATCTGTGTGCGTGTGTGTTGGCCGTAGCGCTCGTGAATCATACAGTATAGTATATCGTCAAGCAAGCCCGGCCTTGATGCCAATGTTTGCGGCAGTAAAAGAATTCAAACTTTCTATTAGTATCTTTACGGAAAGAAGAATTCAAACTTTCTATTAGTATCTTCATTACGGAAAGGTTAGTTTAAGTAAGAGTCAATTACACCACCGGTGCCACAATTTGGCATGAAAAATCAGTTTAGTGCTAAAACTTGCGGCATACATTGAACTGGTGTCATAACTTGGCTTTGACGTACATATACGGTGCAAATCATGTTGCTATACAAACAGGATGGTGATTAGTCACGCCAACGTGGCATGGGGCCTGCTGTCAGCGACTAGCGGCAAAGTGGACGCGCGGCCTGCTTTTTTGCAAAAAATAAACCTCGAAATATTGTTCTCACGAAAAATACTATGCCATGGCTACAAGGGTCCACTTGTCAGCCTCACACAAATAAATGAAAAATTGGTACGTGAGGGACTCAAACAACTAACCTGTAGCTAGCAGCAGCGCAAGTATAACCACCTGACAATCAGCCACATTTATTAATAACTGGATGCTGCTGCTGTATATTTTTTGACTGCTAACTAGGTTGCAGTCCCTACATCTCATTTTACACTTCTCTTTTCAGAAATTTATAGAATATATGTAAAATATAATAGTGTGTTATAAATAATATATATGTATGAAACAATCGTGTATGGATTTAGTATTTATCCATATATCAAATTATGAAGTACAAAATTGTTCATGTAATAATTTGCATATTGAATAAGAACATATATTCGGTAAATTCTTATATAAGTTTAAAATTGGTCACAGTTTCATCCAAATATTTATGTAATATACTACAAAAGTTTCATGCTTAAAGTAAGTGTTTATAAGAGTTTAAAAAGGTTCACTATTAAAAAGAATCATGTTGTGTATAAAAGTGTTCATGCTTTAAGAAAGTTTTTTATTTTACTATATACTTTCATAAATTCTTAAATAAGTTTTAAAATATTCATGTAGTATATAAAAGTATTCATGCTTTCAAAACATATATTCATATAATGTAAAAATAGTTGGCTAGGATTAGAAGCAGCGATATGTAACACATGCCACCATGTGTGAGTGGCCACCACACCCCCCAACAGCGTTACTTTTTTTTAGGAATTTATAAAATATATATTTTATTTTAATAAATGCTAATAAAAGTTTAGAATGTTCATGACTTAAAAAATATTAGTATATGAAAGTTTTCACTGTTATTTTTAAATTTATTTTACTTTAACACGCGGTTACAATTTACATGTATTTTATTTTTTAACAAAAATAACGGTGTAAAATGGGTCGCTGGGACTCCAGCACACTGAAGTCAGAACGGAATCACAAGTAATGATGTTGGGTGTATTTGTTTGGCCGGCGGTACTGCATACCTCAGGTCACGTGATCGAATACCTGGATGAAATTTTTTGCACAATAGCCCCCATCTGCGAGAACTGCGAGAAAAATATGGATCGCTACCAGGTGCTTTTTCATGAGAACAAAATATACCGATGGTTTTTCTTGCTCAAATAGCAGACACACGTCGTCCAGTCGCGCACATCGGCGTGCCTAATCAGTACCGTGTTCGTATAGAAACGTGATTTGTACCATATATGCACGTCCAAGCCAAGTTATGGCACCAATTCAATGTATGCCGCAAGTTGTAGCACTAAACTGACTTTTCGCGTCAAGTTGTGGTACCGGTGGTGTAATTGACTCTTTAAGTAAAGAGATGCAAACCGCCAAGCGGAGTAGTCAGGGTGCACACGTACGTGTGTTGCTGTCGAATTTCCGCATTACAGTTTACAAAGGAATTTGGCATCGGCATCCAATTTAACAGCATCTCCACAATGTGTGTGATTCCAAATTTGTGTATAGGGGTCCCACCACCGAATAGAAAGGGGTAAAAAACTATTTTCTCCCCAGTCACGTGTTAACTTGTGATGTATGTATTTATCTGTTATGTACATGTAGTCCTTGTATTTAGGATCCGAGCCACGTCCGGGCCTGCGTGCCACTTCTATTGGGCCTCTTGCTATGGCTCCATTTGCATATCTTGTACCGTTGTGGGTGGAATCAATACACAGAGAGCATTTCATCCTTCTGCTTCACGCACTCGCCGACGATTACCCCTTTCTTTTCCCTGCTGAAATCCTAGGGCTTGCCGGCACCTAGTCCCTGGCACTATCCCGCGTGGCGGTGCGACATGGCCGCACCGTCCACCAGACGCGGCAGGGAGCAGAGGGACGAGCCCGCAAGCGTGCATGAAGAAATTGGACGGCAGCCGGCTCCCGGGGGAGACCTGCGATTCACGCAATACATCGCCATCCCAAGGTTAGTTTCG